GGTTTACGCGCTAAGCTTCTACCAAAGCTATGAGATAAAACAAGCTCTTTCGATATATAGGTATTTTGTTCGACGCTTGGAAAATCCTTGCGTTTTCGTGCCGCTTTTCAACCAAGTTCCAACCTTACCACAGAGTTAGCACGATTTCGAGCCTCAAAACTCAGCTTCTGAAGCCGTACAATGAAGTAAGCATATAGTATGTAGAAGTTCATAAGACTGTATATTTGGCTAGAAAAAATCAGCAGCGTTGGGCGTTTGTTTTGGCCACGCAGACGTCATTTCGTCAAAAACACCGGTTTTACTATTGCAGTCACCCCTTTATTTGGTTTGTAGCTCCACAGCCTCAAGATTAGTTCTACAAAAAATCCAAAAACTTTAGCACAGAAACATCAGCACGCAAACAATGCAGCTGCTGCATATCAAATGTTTGCGTAAGAGAGAAGCTGAGTTTTGAGGCTCAAAATCGTGCTAACTCTGTGGTAAGGTTGGAACTTGATTGAAAAACGGCGCGAAAACGCAAGGATTTTCCAAGCGTCAAACAAAATACCCATCGAAAGAGCTTATCTTATCTCATAGCTTTGGTAGAAGCTAATTAGAGCGAGTAAACCACAGAAGAACGGATGTTTTTGGAGCGCAATCATTCCAAAAGCACTTAGAGCCTTCTGAAAAAAGTAGCGGTCCTCTTTTTGAACTGCACTGGGTTCAGTGTGTAACAGATATGTCAGACTTTGTTACTGTAACTCTACAAAAAATTTGGACTCAAATGATTGCAATCTTTAATGAAAAATGGACCTTTGTTTGAGGTGCTCGTATAATTATGAAGCGCTAAAAATTCGCATTCGGCGCAAAAACACTCCTACGATTGGCATCGATTTCCATTCTTTTGGATCATATACCGTTTTCGGCTGTGTTCTATCGCGTGGTACCAACGGCTTTTTGAGTTTCTCCCAAAAAGTCCGAAAACTTACAAAATTTTGGGTGTTCGTATAATTATGAACCGCACTTTAGTTCATGTAATAGCGAGTTCGATTTCTGAAAATTCTTCATTTAAAAAATAAAAAATCCTTGAAACCACAGCGTCCATGGACAGAAATTCTAACTTGATGTCACAATTTGCAATAGAAGAAAACTATTCAATTTCATATCTGTCCATTTTTGTAGGTGTTAGTAGATTTTTGGAGATTTTTCTAATACTTTCGTATTCGATTGTATTCTGCCCGATAGAACATGAATTTTCTGGTGTTAGAATGATATAGATATCGAGGATGCCACGCTGTCCTCAAGGGCTGATATCTCAGCTATGCGGGAAGAGGTGGGAATTTCGGCAAGAGTTTTGGGCGACGAGCGTAATACTAGAGTCAAGCAAGAGGTGTGGCACACGATCGCTGGTTACGACCCCCCCCCCCTCTTATTGCTGTCTCAATAAGACCCCTTGAACTATATACCTAGGATAGCATTACTTGAAGGCCCCGTCAAACATAACCGGCACATATCCACAATTAGCATGTCAATTAACTCCTGTACAATGTTCGAGCGAATTCTGAAGGTTCAAGATACTGCGTCACCTAAGCAAAATCGCCATTCTCCAGCATGATTAACCTTCATTTAGAGGTGAAGTAGCTAGCTGATTTTGCACTCAAGACAAAGCACTACTCCTTCTTTGGTCACTTCAGAAATCTCGCTTAAAGATCTCCTAACTTTAAAATCAGAAGCCAACCAAAATCTTGTTTTTCTTATTTTTCGCTTTTAATGGCTGTGCTTTCGCCAAATATCACTCACAAGGGAATGGTCAGAAGTCGAAGTGGCCATTCCAAACAAGGTGCATACCATTCGATGCAGCATAGAACGCTGATTTCAAATCTGCCTTTCGTATCTGCAGAGCGCCTTTGTAGGCGAAGTTATGAGCAGCTTTACTGCGGAAAAACCGTATACAAAAATTGCGAAATTAGGCACATTATTGCTGTTTCAGCTCATATCTAGATACGGATCATATGAACTGACCTAGTTGCATGTTTTGGTCCAACACTGAGCCGAGAATGGCTTTGTACGGCTAAGTTTGCATTTTACATGTAGAATTTCTTAGCAAGATAGTGGCCTTCAACGGCTTATAATTTCGTCCACAAAAGCGCTCTGCAGATAAGGAAGACAGATTTAGAGTCAGCATTTTCTAATGCATTCAATGGCATGCAGCTTGTATGGATTGGCCACTTCGACTTCTGACCATTCCCTTGTCAGAGCTAAGAAGACGAATCAGGCTCAAATCACTCCTATGAAATCTACGAAGTCTAGGCTATCGATTTATGTATATAATCTTCACTAAAAATGTTTTTTGTTATAGTTAATGTTGTGGGCACCACCCCTAAAAAGCTTTGGCTGCCACATCTTTTTAGGGATGGTGCCACATCCCATTAACTTACCTTCGAACAGATCAAATAGCTGCGTTTTTCATATCGTTGTTACTGTTTAACCTTCTTCTTCACATGGCAGAAATTTCATACGAAAACGTTTCTTTGAGAGCAAGATATAATCGTTTTCCTTTACCTATGCAAATGTAAAATACTGATAAAATACTGCGAAAGTATTGGGATACGTGACATGCTAAGTCTGCGCTACTACGTGAATCGCAAGGGAAGGCGACAAGAATGTATGTATTCGATAGCCTAAGCCTCGTAATCTACATTAAAGTGATTTGAACCTGATTGGTCTTATCTAGCTTGAGATATTAAACGAAACAAACGAGATTTTGGCTTGCTCTTAATTCCTCAATTTGAAGATCATTCGAAGTAGGATTTGTAATGTGAACAAAGAATTAGTAGTTCTTTGTATTAAGTGCAAAAAGAAGTGGTTAACTTACCTTTGAAACAAAGTAACATGTTTGGAAACGACCAACCATCTCGCTCAGGTGGTGCTGCACTTGGAAGCCTCAGAATTCGCTGAAACTTGGACCACAGGGGTTATTTTACTTGCTAATTAAAAATGATGCTCTTATGCTTTATAGACCTTTACTTATGCTTACTGTACGTATACGAAATGGGCCAAACATCAATGTGCTAGTAGCATGACATGCCTATTTGACATTGTGAATATCATGTTATGCGAACTGCGGACGCCTTGATAAATAACGATCCCCCTCCCAGATTCCTCATTACGACCCTCCAGGTGTGGCATGCCACACCCCACGCTTGACCCTGGTAATTACAGTACTATCTGCGGCGGCTTTGTCGGCAGCTCCGGCGGCTTGCTGCGGCAGCAGTCGGCTGCCCGGGTACCACTTGCACGCCTCCCATCTCCAAGTCTGTCTTCGGACCATCTAGAGCCCAGTCTGAAAGACAGTGTCCGGGCGGAAAGTAGATTTTAAGATTCTATGCTTACCAAGGCTTGTTCGCTATGCTGAATCCGAAAATATTAGGTCATTCCGAGAGTAATTTCGCTTTTTTCGTACGGGCGCCACATTTGACGGAACAAAGATTTCTAAGAGATTTTGGATGCATTCGATGCAGCATTTCATTCTCTTTCTAAAGGTTACGAAATTGTTGTAGAACTGTTAATGAGCTTTCAGAAAATAACCAAAATCTGCGACCCATGCTTTTTGAGATGGTCAAGTTTCACGATTTTTTAAAACTTTCATATCAATCCTCAGAAGGAGTTCAAGTAACGATTCTATAGAGCAAACCTCATAGAATACAATGCAACTTTTTTCTCTTTTCCATAGCTTGTCATACATTTTTAACAGAATTTTAACTGATGCTACCGATTTCCATATTTGGACAGCTAAATCCTAGTAGAACATCAAACCATGAGCAGCTTGGGTGTCATTCGATGCAGCTTTTTCTCCTCTTTTCAATGGGTGTTTTTTGTTTCCGATTCGTTTAGTTTCCGAGAAGAAATCACCATAACTCATTTTTTTTAGCTAGCCCCGGGCTGTACCCGAAAAACTCGAAATTTGATATTTGGAACCCGTAAACCCCCACTTGCTTTGTAAAATTAATGCTAACTCATAGTACCATTTTGGTAGGCTCAACTTCCGAAAAATTATGATGTTTGATGCGATTGTGGCTGAGGTGGGCCTGCCAAAATCCGATAGTTCTGTTAGAAAATCTAAAAAAATATTACGGCGAGCTGCAAGGAAGAGAAAAAAGTAGTATTGTATTCTGTGAGGTTTACTCTATCGAATCGTTACTTGAACTCCTTCTGAGAATTGATATGAAAGTTTTAAAAAATCGTGGAACTTGACCATCTCAAAAAGCATGGGTCGCAGATTTTGGTTATTTTCTGAAAGGTCATTGAATATGCTGCAATGGTTTTATAATCGTTAGAAAGAGGACGAAATTCTGCATCGAATGCCTCCAAGATCTTCTAGGAACCTTTGTTCCATCACATGTGGCGTCCGTTTGAAAAAAGCGAAATTACTTTCGGAATGACCTAATATATACAGGAGAGTGCGGAAACGGCGAACAAAGGCTCTAACACAGGAGTGAATTCAGACGTGGGCGGAGTCTTCCCCACTGTGAATTCAGCTCCCTGCTTCCGGAGCATCTTGTTCTGATTTCAAGTCAGGCGTTCGCGCTTGGTCGGTGGAGGTGTCAGGGCGGCTGCAAAATTAAGGAATTCGCTCCAACCTCCGAGCGTCAAAAAACAGTGGGGAAGATCCGCTTACCTGGTGAATTCCCTTATGGGTGAGCCCTTTTTCGCCTCTTCGCGCTTGCTAGTATGAGTTTTCGACAGCACACGAATAGAATAGACTCTGATAAGCGCGATGTCTAAATATTTTGGCTGAACACTGCCTTTGAGCTTGCCCTCAAAATTATGCGCTAAGTCTGAAAACGAGCTGCAAGGGCCCACCAGCCCCGCCCATTTTGTTAATGACATCATTCGCCATTGTGGTATGTGGCACGTGTTAACAGTAATTGGTTAGATATTCCAGCTATTTGCATATACTCTTGTTCAAACTAGGCTGCAATGAAATAAACTACCAGCTCATGTGTTAAAGTTGGTTTTAGGTTCACACGAGTACGTTTTATCCTATGCTTATTTTCGCGTTAAGGATACACAAGGTGATATCACCACATACACTCTAGAGGTTAGTCTACCGAGTTGAGAAGAGGACGAATACTGTCGGTAGTCTCCCACGCTAGTGGCTCTCAAACGATATGCAGTACTAGCGAGGAAGAACAGTAGTGCTTCAGCACGTGTTGACAGTTATTCGCATATCGTCTCGTCAATTCAAGCAGGACAATTCATCATTAAATCCGCTGATTTTAGGTATTCGATGGATTTGAATATGAGGATCTCGCAGAACAGACAAGAAAAACAGTTACGATTCAGGCGGACTCATCTAATTATGTCTTCATATTGTCAAACAGGTTTGTTTGGAGCACCTCAGACAAAAGGCAAAATTTTTAGTGGAATTGAGCACCTTTCTATAAGGCTCTGTGAAGAACAATTGCGATTTAGCATAGCTTTGTGATGCGCTGACTATACCTATATCATTACTAAAAATCTGACGGAATTGAAAACGATGCATCAGTGATCACGGTTGTACGAGAATTGCATATAGGGTATTTTTCCGGAAGTGTTCTCAGAATGAAGTTCGTATGAACTTCTTGCCAGATAAAATCCATTATCTTCATTGCTTTGAACTAATTATATAGTTTTGTATATAAAAAAAGAAGGCTCCGGCAGTAATCTAACAGCAGAGCAGAGCATTTGTAAGAGCATTTGTTGTTGGCTAGCAAGAACAATCGTTATCTGGACATAAAGATATGCTCTTTAGACTGAACATTCTAATAAAAGAATCCGGCAGACAGACCCCCAAAATGCTGGACCAAGTGTTTTCGGACGCGTACCTGGCAAATCCCCAAACTCTTAATTTTGATTTGAATTTTCGACTGCAGCTAAGGGGAAGAGGTCGCTGACGCAGACTGTAAACTATATCCTGGAAATAATCTAGAACCATGTCTCCCTTATGTTGCTCTTAACAAAGAAGAATATTGGTACTGAATACCTCTTATCGTCGCTAAACTCTAACAAACTCTAAACTCTAAACTAAATTTGATTAAGTAATCAATCCAACATTTAAGCATGGAATGCTTATTCCCGAGCTCGAATACTTGGGCCAGGACATTGAAATGATTGCATCGGGATACTCTTATAAAACTATAATTATGTGTGTAAATAGCGGGTGCTTCATTAAACGCGACGAACTGCCAAGCACATTCCGCTTTTCAGCTGCACGAATTTTCGAAGTGAGTTTGGCATTGCTCGGAATGCCGATTGGTTGCCTGCTCCACTCTCCAGAGATAAACTGTCCTTGATGGACACAACACCTTCTGTGCCGATTCCTGCGCGTAATAAGCGAACTCTTAGGCTCCAGGCATACATCAAGCAAATTCTGTCGCCACGCGATTTGGCAGTTTGCCAGATGTCTTCAAATCAAGTGGGAGATCATAAATGCATAGCATGTTCAACTCCTTAGGTTGCTGAAATGCTCAACCTTCTGTGTATGCAGATTGCGCTTACGATAAATCATAAACAATTCGAGTATAGCCAAACTGTATCGCAGCAGAAATCGCGTGAAGTATGCAGTCTCCTCCCAGTGACAGAAGGATTCGAAGTCTTCGAGAATAGATGCGTTGCTGGTGATTCGATGACCGCACATTATAATAATGATACTTATGATGATGTAACCTTGTTTTCTCTTTATATCAAAGCCTACTGCCGCAGCAAGGCGCAAAAGCAGCATCGCGAAAGCTGCGCGCTTATCTCAACCGTGTAATAGCGCCTCATGCGCACTGCGGCTATAAAAATCGCGGCCCCCTCAGGTTTAGCGCAGAGGTGCGATAGTCGGAGCCGAGTCTCCGCCTACCTTCACTTTTGAGCTGGGATGGGGGACCACCTTCACTTTTGAGTTTGAAAAAATTTTTTTGCTGAAGCTTAAAAGAAGGAACGCAAAAGAAAGTATTGAGAGCATATATCTATGTAGTAAGTCGATCTAGGCAGTAACCGCCGAGAACCAGAATTTTGAATGATAAAATAGCGAAAAAATCATGCGAACTTTCCACTGTTATAAATCTGGTGGTTGAAGATGTCAGCAATTGCGACTTCATAGGTTTTAAAGGGTAAGTGTTGTTCTACCAGAGTGAAAGAATCAGGTCGATCTGAGCAGTGACCGCCGAGAACAAGGAATTTTAAAAAAATGCGATTTTAGGTTACTTAGTGACAGCTGACGTTTAAACTCCTATAAACCTGGAATGTGAAAGTGTGCAATGTTGCGACTTCATAGGTTTTGTAGAGTAAGAATTGCTCTATCGGACTATACCTTAGCCGTACCGACCCATCGAGATAACGCCGAGATTCAGACTCTTAAAAAAACAGGTGAAAAACCGCTTTTTGAATTTCAACAGCTCATAACTTCTTAGAATTGCATGAATTATGTTGCGACTTCATAGGTTAGATTTTTCTCATTAAGAGCTTTCAGATGATATATAATATGTAGGGGTTTCGCGCCTCTTACGGCATATGCCCGGGGTGGAGACTTTTCACCACAAAGTCTCCACTGGCGGTCTCCGGCCAATACATTAACATGGGCGAGGTGGAGACTTTGGGGTGAAAAGTCCCCATCCTGGGTTAGAGCCGCAAAAATCATTGAACCCCCCACATATTACATATCATGTGAAAGCTCTTGATGAGAAGAATATAACCTATGAAGTCGCAACATGATTCATGTAATTCTGAAGAAGTTATGAGCTGTTGAAGTTCAAAAAGCGATTTTTTACCTGTTTCTTTAAGAGCCTGAATCTCGGCGGTATTTTGATGGATCGATACGGCTAAGGCATAATCCGATAGAGCAATTCTTACTCTACAAAATCTATGAAGTCGCAACATTGCACACCTTCACATTCCAGATTTTTAGGAGTCTGAACGCCAGCTGTCACTAAGTAACCTAAAATCGTTTAATTTTTTAAAATTCTCGTTCTCGGCGGCCACTCCTCAAATCAAACTGATTGTTTCACTATCTTGTAGAACAACGCTTGCCCTTTGAAACCTATGAAGTCGCAATTGCTGACATCTTCAACCGCAAGATTTATAAAAGTGGAAATTTCGCATAATTTATTTTTATTATTCAAAATTCTGGTTCTCGGCGGTTACTGCCTGGACCGACCTACTTCCTTCGCAGTGCGTTATAACAAAATTTACTTGATAAAATCTGTGAAGTCTCGCTGACTCTCACTTCAAAACACACCATTTACTAAACACGTTTGTTTTAAATATACATATATGCCGCCGTATACATTAAAATATGCTTTCAATAATCTTTTTTTTGCGTTTGTTTTGCTTATTTTCTGCGCACTGTCGGCAACGACCTGGAAGGATAGGCTCAGTCGACGTTAACGCCCCCCCCCCGGTCGACTTTTTTGGGAGGTGAGTGTCCGGCACTATCACCTTCACTTTTGGCCGGCCAGTGGTAGCTGGAACCACCTTCACTTTTGCGGGGCCCGGCTCCACCTATCGCACCTCTGGTTTAGCGCCTTCGTTTGGCAGTAGCCTATAGTTTAAATGAAAAAAAAACATGCTGTAGTTAACTTGCTAAATCTCGATCTCCTCCGACTCTGAATGTTTAAGTACCACTCTTTAGTCCGCTAGATATGCTGAGTTCACTGTGCTTTACATCTTCTAGAAAAGCACAACTACTTATTTTAAGAGTGTTGGGAGGACGGCGGCAATCCGAGGAGCATTACTTTGCTGTTTGGTGATATCTCAACCAAACCAATTTCATTTTGAACTTTGCAACCAAGAGACCTAAAGTGGTATATCTGGCGTCGGCCCTATGGTAACGTCCAGGCAGATCAGATTTCCCAGATGCATGTAGTCCACAAGCAGGCCCCAGAAGTGAAGCTAGCTAATCCGATTCACCAATGCTGTTCCTAAGCGAAAGAAAAGACTACAATCTACGAAAATCAGACGCCTCCCACCCCTGTAAAAGCATCTCCTTCTCGAGCAGTTCTCTTCAGCGCTTGTCACGTTTCTTCAGGGTCAAAGAATTCCTAGATATTTCCAAAGCAAAAACATTACTTCTTGAATCCAAAGTATATACAGAAGAAGAAAGTGCAGATTCGCTTTAAGAGAATGTTATATCTGGGCATTTCGGAGGGATTTAAAGTCAGAGGGGGCGGAGTTGACCGCTCGATTTCTTTTCTTCTCGTAAACACACAGCTCGTACAGTATGCGTGTGTCTACTACATACATGAGAAGGAAAGGTGTAAATCTGGACTCCCGCAAACTCTTTGTTTCAGAATCCTGGCTCATTTTGTACATGGAGTAGTTATATGCATGCTTGGGATCATCTTGTGGTGCCTGTTTCCTCTCAAATGTGCTACATGTCCTTCTTGGGTACTTACTTCGAAGCCAAACTGCATCGAAAGTTAATGCTTGGAAACCTTCCTACTAACCTTATAACTGGCAAGTAGATCGAACACACAATACTCAAACTGCGTTAGAGTGTACAAAGACGCTAACCCGAGGGGAGCGAACGCGATTTTATTAGTCGCAGAGCGATTGAAGGACAAGACTGACGTGCGCCCGCTTAAAGGCAGTAAGTCGGCAGAATGAGACCCGTGGCAAAACAAGGTCCAGGGTAGGAGCTCCCATAATGAACCTATGGGCCAAAGTTCGATCTTTCTCTACCACTCTAACCCCCGAAATTTCAAAGCGAAAACAGCGCTCATCTCCTGTCCTCTCCGAACCCGCCCACCCCATGGACGAGTGAACGCGAAGCCCGTCATAGCGAAGACGCAGAGTCGTTGCGGGACCTCATGCTTCTAGCATTGCGGCTGGCGCTCTGACCGCGGATGTCACTCGTCCATGGGGTGGGCGGGTTCGGAGAGGACAGGAGGTGAGCGCTGCTTTCGCTTTGAAATTTCGGGGGTTAGAAGTGGCAGAGAAAGATCGGACTTTGGCCGGTAGGTTCCATATGGGGGCTCCTTCCCTGTGACCTTGTTTTGTTACGGGTCTCATTCTGCCGATGTACTGCCTTTATGTGGTGGTTGTAGGCTTTATTGTAGCCCAAGGCGGATGGGTGGCGCCTATAGTGGAGTATGGTGGCTCCTTGTGTGTTATTAGAACACGTAAGCTATCAGAGCTCTATTGAACAGACGACATGCACCCATTCATGCAGTGGTAGAATGCTGAGGATTGAAGGCGTGGTAAAGTAACATAACAAACTATCACAGCAGGTCATACTTATGGCATGACCTGTGAGGTACTTCGGTAACAGTAGAGGTACGGTTTTTAGGAAGTGCCGACAATGTCGACACACTCCGGCCAGCGGGAGGAGACCAACGAAATGAATTAGAAGTACAACATATATCCGTGCGATAGAAAGGGGTGGTTGTAGGCTTTATTGTAGCCTTAGGCGGATGAGTGGCGCTTGTTGTGGAGTATGGTAGCTCCTAGTGTGTTAATAGAACACTAAGCTATTAGAGCTTTATTGAACAGACGACATGCACCCATTCGTGCAGTGGTAGAATGCTGAGGATTGAAGGCGTGGTAAAGTAGTATCACAAACATCTGGGCAATAATAAACTCATACCACAGCAGGTCATGCTTATGGCATGACCTTTACGGTGCTTAGGAGAGTTGATGATAAGTTGCAAGGAAGGTGCCGACAAAGTCGGCACACTCCGGCCAGCGAGGAGAATGGACAGAGCGAAAATGTGCATTTCATAAACGTAAATAATACTTAGATATACAGAAATAATCATATTTGTCGGGATATCTTAGTGGACGTTCCTGAGCAGCTAGGCAGATAGGGTCGCAGTCCAGATTGATGTAGTCATGACAGCTGGCGTGAGATGGTGAGGAAGTAGACAGTGGTAAAGCAGAATATCGTCGGTCATCATGACGTAGTCAACTTTCATTTTTGAGCAACGGGTGAGGAAGTAGACAGTGGTAAAGCAGAATATCGTCGGTCATCATGACGTAGTCAACTTTCATTTTTGAGCAACGATACAGAGTAAGGGTTATGAACTGGAATCTTCTTACTGTTCGTAGGTTGTCGCTTTATAGTTTTGAGTCTTCCGAATACATCACTGCATTCTCTAGACCGACGTTCTCCATCCATGATTGCTTGCGAGGTCAATTTATCCTCTGCTGGTATGTTGCCATCCATGGCATCTCCGCAGGCCACAGTTGTGCAGTCTTCAGAATATTGACTGAGGCGATCTCCACTTTCGTCGTCTTCTTCCATCATCGCGGAATCCATCATGATTGCTAGAGCATCCGTTTCCCTTTCCGCATCACGTAAAAAATGGTTGACAAGACTGGATTGCTGTTCCTCAACTACTCGACTTGATGCGAAATTCTTGTCTGTTTTTGCATATACTATCTGATAGTCTACAGCGATAGCAAAAATACTGGCATCAGAAAGCAACTGGTAAAAATCAAGCTCCTTTTTGAGCTCTTCTAGCTGGAGTATGACATTCTTTCTCTCGCTTTTAGATTGCTTGAGATAGAATTCTCCCACTTGGCCGACTATTGACTCCAAAATTGTCGTTCTTGCTTTAACTGTGACAGGCAAGAAAGGAAAATATCTAGGTTTTCGAAACATCTCCTTTGAAGCTCTCTATCAATTTCTAAAGTGAATTTGAGCTTGAAGTTGCAGGAGTCAAATTTTTTGAGCAGATTGGCTAATGCTCTTGAGTGAAGTGAGATTGCCTCTTTGAAAAATTTGAGAGACATTCTGATGTTCAAAAATTGTTAGGAAGATTTGGCTGCTTTTTGAGCCGTTCGGTAATTTTGAGCAAAAATTGGGAGATTTAGTCCCTGATGCGGAGGAGAACGACTGTCGCTAGGTGCGAGACAGCGAATTTTGGGCGCTAGGTCCCGAGGTTAGAATAGCTAACCTTTGTGCAGCCGCGCTGAGGCGAAGCACTTATCGGTCTTACGTATTTAGCCGATGCACCATAAATGTGGTGGTTGTAGGCTTTATTGTAGCCTTAGGCGGATGAGTGGCGCCTGTTGTGGAGTATGGTAGCTCCTAGTGTGTTAATAGAACACTAAGCTATTAGAGCTTTATTGAACAGACGACATGCACCCATTCGTGCAGTGGTAGAATGCTGAGGATTGAAGGCGTGGTAAAGTAGTATCATAGACATCTGGGCAATAATACACTCATACCGCAGCAGGTCATGCTATGGCATGACCTTTACAGTGCTTAGGAGAGTTGATGATAAGTTGCAAAGAAGGTGCCGACAAAGTCGGCACACTTTAACTAATACAGCATTTGCACTTTCGTCCGGCATTAGGCATACGTGCTTTCAATGCGTTCGAATGCGTCAAAGGCTGAGAAAATCGTTTTCGGGGTTACTTATTTGGTTATCATGTTTGAAATTAGGGATTTGAGCAGGCCCGCGAATGTTACAATTATGAAAGCCAAAAATCATGGTTGGCTGTTTATAAGTAACGCAGGTGTCAGTGATGTCTGGTAGTAGTCGCCCAATTTTTGTGTGTTCCAGCGGTTGCTATTACATAAATTATGAACTTTTTTCAATTCCAGCCAATACTGTCATGCTCAAGCGCTCCGTGAAAGAGCAGAACCTATGAGTGCGGAAAAATTCAAAATAGAGTGAGTTGGATTTGATGGACTGAGGGAAGTCAGATGATTCGTCATTTTCAGACCCGAATTAGGATCACAACTAGCTGTCTATTACACATATGATATTGATAATAAACCAAAACAATTAGAAGCACCGTATGTGATCACAAACATTTATAAAGGGTCAACGTACAAGATCGAAGAGGGCTATCCTGACTCAACTTTGTTGCCTGGAGTGACTAAAGTATCTTATGCGTCGGAAGAGGACGATTGTTGCCCTGACCAAGTCGAGTTTGGCGATTTTGTGCCCCAAGATGGATGGTAAGTTTACCCATCTAGGAAGTTGCAGCGATAGCTGCTCTTTTTTATGGATATACTGCTCATATGAAAATATTTACCTTAAGGTATGACACAACCCCGCATCCAATTGCCAACGAATATGCTCTTCACCAGGTAAGTGGAATATTCTTACACCAATGCAAACTTGTGCTTCGCAGAGGTTCGCGCTGGTTCCTCTATCTATATGCCCTTTGCTCACATAATGTTGACTGTGAAGCTCACCGTGCAGTGCTGACCATCATGAACGAATCGTAAACGACCACTCATTTCATGAGCTCCTCCATATGGGAGCTGTATCTTTGAGAAGAATAAATCTTCCTTCAGGAAATCAAAAGGGAATTTCAGTTAGCGCTATATTATGGTCTGGTAATATTCATAATGGACAGATCCGTAACATACACAGGGTCAAGCGTGAGGTGTGGCACGCCACACCTGGGGGGTCGCATTGAGTAGTCAAAAGGGGAGGTGGTCGTAGTTGGGTAATCTGATAATAGTGATAACATGATATTCGTATCATATCCATCATTAGCATGTCATTTAATCCCTGTAGACAAAGTTTGAGTGGATTCTGAAGATTCAAGATAACTAGGCTACCTAAGTGAAATTGTCATATTCCAACTGGTTCACTTTGTTTCAAAAGTGAACTACCAACCCTGTTTTGCACTCAAGACAAAGCACTACACCTTCTTTATCCATCTCAGAAATCCCGCTTCAAAAGACTTCCAAACTGTGGAATTAGAAGCCAACCAAAATCTCATTTTTTTTCCTTTTTCGCTTTCAATGGCTGTGCTTTCACAAATATTACTCAAGGCTAAGAAAACGAATCATGTTTAAAACATTCCTATATAATCTACGAGGTCTAGGCTATCGATTCATATAAATACTGTTCGCTAAAAAGTTTTTTTGAATATTTAATGGGGTGTGGCACACCCCCTTAAAAGCTGTGGCTGCCACAGCTTTTGAGGGGGTGTGCCACACCCCATTAAATGTGTCATAAAAACTTTTTTAGCAAACCGTAGATATATGGAATCGATAGCCTAGAACTTCTGTTTTCACAGGAGTGATTTGAGCCTGATTCGTTTTCTTTGCTTTGAGTAATAGTTGGTGAAAGCACAGCCATCAAAAGCGGAAAATGGGAACAACGTGGTTTTGGATTAAGTAGCTGGCTCTAACTAGCTGGCTTACCCGGCTCCGCCCGGCCCTGTCAAAACGCTATGTCAAAGAACACTATCCCTATTCCTGTGCGAACCCTCCCCTGTGCCCACGCCTACATGCCAATCACTATTCCCGCTGTTTTAGTAATCAGCATGCTCGATTACCTCCTGTGGAAACTCCCAGCCCTGTAGCTCAAACTTTGCAAAAAATCGATAAAATCGATATCGATCGATGACGAAAAGTAGCCTATGACACCCGCCGGGGCCCGAAGTGTATGTGTGCCAAGTTTGGTCCGGATCGGTTCATAAATGGAATTTTCTATTCGGAACATACGTACACACATACAGACAGACAGACAGACAAACAGACATTCAGCTTTATATATAAGACTACTAGCAAGTGGGTTGAGGCGGATACGTTGATTTGAATGTATCAACGTATCTGCTTCAACACACTTGCCGAGTCGGTGTAAATAAGTTTGAACTCGTTTCATTTTTTGAACGACTCGTGAGTTGTAAATAATATCAGGTTGGCTAATACACAAGTTCGGTTACTTGCAAATTGAAATTCCATAATAATTCAAAAGCAGCTATTCTTCCGTTAAGATTCTTTGCGAAGAAGTAGCTTCAGTTTTTTACTCCTACATATCAATTAGTCAAAGTTTTTTTTATCACCGAAAAGTGATAGTTATGCCCTTATATGGTCAGATCTCTGAAAAATTGCCTTTTGATTTTCTAAATTTCGTTCTTACAAGGGAGGTCCGATTAGTCGAAGTGACCTTTCCAAATGAGTCTTATGCCACCTTGAAGAGCATCAAAGGCTAATTCCAAATTTGATTTCATTATCTGCCGAGCGTATCTCCATGCCGAATTATGAATATTTTCTGGCAAAAAAATGAACATCTAATCTAGGTAAAGTCGAATTTTAGGGTCTTTTCAGAGCTCAAATAAGGCAGTGTGAGTGTTTTGGACAGAAGGTATTGTTCAAAAGAAGTGCGCTGATAATCAACATTGGACCATTTGAGCAATTCTGACGAATTTTGCTCTAATTATGCGTTCAATTTTTCAATTAAAAAAAATCTCATAATTCGACGTCCGGAGGAGCACAGCAGATAATGAGGAAATTTGGAATCAGCGTTCATTGCTCTTCAAAGTCGTATTAATTTCATGTGAAAAGGCCACTTCGACTAAACGGACCTCTCTTGTTAGCCTATACTGAGCGCACTGATGAATTTGGCGATTATATATATATAAAATCTTCGGCTACATGGCGAACTACAGTGGAGATTGTTATCTGCTGTTTGTGAATTTCTGCAGCCGAAAATAAGAGCATTTCCAGGCATTTACTCGTGGAAGTCAATTTTTTGAGCATTCAGGATGGCTTGAATCTGACCATCTATGGTTGTAGGAGTTGTTGAAAGTTTCAGAATTTGTTGTGTGGATCCCGGTTATAATTTTACACCCGTTTCGGAGCATTTTTCGAAAATCAAATGAAAAAATCTGACTACCTCATCCTACAACAATTTCATTGTCAAAATATTAAGTAGCGCTCAAATAGAGTAGACCATTTGATTCTCCTTGATTGCTCTCCAGTGGTACCATAAATTTTTACATAAATCAATTTTGTAATTGCTACAACTTATTTTTTAGCCAAACTGAAGTACAAACAAGATATTAGGCTCCGGAAGAAAAAGCATTCAATAGTGGAAAATTATCAATTAATCTTTACTATCATCCTCGCGGTATCCTACTTTCAAAACCTCCCAATTTCTAGATCTATTCACTTAAAATCAGCAAAGATATCATTTCTTATAAAGGATTGCTACTTTAGACAAAGCTCAAAAAATTTTCTTATAGTGAATATAACAGAGTCACTTGTCCGAGTTATAGGAAGTGGAAAGAGTGTGCAGGAAAAAAAGCTTTATGCATGCGCCTTTGGGCTATCAAAAGTTTGATACATTCTAGTTAAATACTCCAAAGTGCAAGGAAGCATTCAACGTCTCTTCACCACTGCAAGCAGTCGTCCTTGAGGTCGATGAAGAATGTCTATGGTAAGATATATAATTTTCGCTCCTTACCTTATTTGTACCTTACGAACTCAACTGTAATTAGAGAAAAAAACAGGAAAAGACGGTTAGAAGACGCCGAATGTCGCCTAGTGTAGGAGGGCCCGCGTGGACTTCGTGCAAGAACGCACCCACCATGCATGTGAAAAGATGCGTGTTTTGCAGATGACCGCGGGGGCCGCCCCATCTCGGCAGCGTATAGTCCTCTACCCGAAAAAACATGTCGTTTTACTTGCACAATTGTTTTGCTTATTCTACTCAAAGGCAGTGTCCGGACAGATTTGGGAGCATCTCGGTTCCAACGCGTTTCACTGAAGGAACCTCCTCATGCAAGCCAAAGGTTGCTTGCGGTTGCAAAATAAAGTGATAATAATCCACTTTAGAGCAAGAAAATGGCTCCAGAAACGCCGACGTACCTACCCCCCCCCCCTCCCCCTCTCGATAACCTCGGTTTCACGAAATCGCCTTTTCGGGTGGTTACGGTTGGAGTGGCGTAAAGGGACAGCTCGTTATTTGACGACCGAAAAACGACCTGAACATAAACATCAAATGTAATTCGCACGGGAACGCGATTTTCTCTGATTACGGTGGGCGTACGGTAGATAGTTTGAAACTTCAAATTAGTCAAAACTTTGTCTGGCGGAGTAGTTCAGCGTACTGATTACAAATATCATATTCTTCTTGCGATTTTAGAATTACAGAGTTACGGTAAGTGTTAGGCGGTCAAGTTGTAGATCAACCTGAAACCTTGTATAGGTTATCTAGCGTGCTAATCACAAATACCGCATTCATTGGGCATGTAGGGTAGTTTCGTGGGTTTTAAAGAACTTAAATAGCCTGGAAAGCAAGGGATTTATTGTAGGTTTAATTTACTGTATTGTTTTTTTTTGATACTGCATTTGCATTGTATTTCGTGTATTGCAATTTAATGTATTAATTGTCATAAATCCAAAAAGGCGGTATCGCAGCGAGCAAGCATGGTATGCATACCTGCCCACAAACCCCACCAGGCAAAGCAGTGAGCAGATTTGTGCGTGTAACCACCGTAACTCCCTAAAGCGACATTTCGCATTGCGACTCGGACACCTCTTGATAGATGTGGCTCTACTATAGAATGTTACCAAGAACTTGAGATCTCTGACTTGGGTGGGCGGTGCCTCTTCATTAATCATGATTTTTTAGGGTACAGGTGTGCTTCGATAGAAAAGTAAGTTCCGGTGGGAGCTACTGGTGTGAGGAAAGCGGTAAATTGAGCCTAATATTTGTTCATGATGTCTTTATCCCAACAGACTCAGGTAATCAAAAGTTTCCATATGCTTGTTCTATCATCAAGATTTTTCAGAACAAGCAATTAATTTTGGCATTGATCGCCATCTTATTACAAAACTTCGTATCAATTTTATGTGGAAGAGAGCAGGGGTTACTGAATAAATCACGTTCGGACTATCGATAAATCTCTTGTTTCAGATTATGCTAGAGTACGGTTTCACATCTCCAAGTTACCCGATGTTCAGTCACAGCATGCATCTAGATCCTTACGAAAAAGTTGGATTTGATCCTAGTCAAATGATGATTCACATAATAAAGCACCAGCAATGCCGTGCTCGTATTGTCACCGTAAGTTCTATGATTCAACGGCAGCGTCCTCCCAGACAGGAGGTACTGACAAGGAGAGGATACTTAGTCGAAAGCGCCAATCCAGATGAGACATATATCATCTTAAAGCGCTTGAAACGCTGATTCCAAATCTGCAGTTTCTAGCTGCGGAGCGGTTTTGTTGAGGAAGTTATGAGGGGTGTTTCCCTATAGGGTCGAGGCGCCCTCCACCATATCTCCCTACCTCTAAGCACTGTAAAGGACTACCAACTGGTCGCAACTGGCCTCATGGTAAGTAACTTGAATGAAGATTACAGTAAATAATACCCCCGTATTACTTTGGCTTTTTAGCACTTCTATAGCATCAATATCATCAAAAATTACAAGCTTTAGAGCTTCAAAGCCATTTAAAAGCTCAATTTTGCAAAAACTGCGATAAAGTTGCATGCGAAGAGGATTAAAACCTTGACACTCTCCTTATCAAGCACGTCACTTACCACTAGGTCAGTTGCCACCAGTTGGTACTCCTCTACAATGCTTATAGTAGGGGGAAAACGGTGGAGGACGCCTCGACCGCAGAGGATAACACCCCTCATAACTCCATTTACAAAATCGCTCCGCAGCTAGAAACTGCAGATTTGGAATCAGCGTTTCAAGCGCTTTAAGATGATATATGTCTCATCTGGATTGGCGCTTTCGACTAAGTATCCTCTCCTTGTGAGTAATGTCATATAAGAGTGGAGTTTGTGACGTAATCGCCCGAGTCCTGTCGCAAGAGATGATTAACTGAGCGAAAAAATCGCTCCAGGAGGTAGATACATGACCCGCCCATCACAGGGCTAGTATGAAGATAACAAGCCCCACTCTGAACTTCAGAGTAGACGAAAGAAGAGCTGATGGTGATAATGAGGAACTGATTAGTAACAATACATGGTTACATTAGCTCACTTTCGGACCTATTAATTTTAGATCATCTACGTTGCTGGGCGGAGTCGCTGCTTTTATTCTTGCTCTAGGTTTCAATTTTTACAGCTGAACTTAGGCGATTTTAATTAGGAACCCTGCTATCACACAGCATGAAAGCCTCAACAACCTCATTCTGCGGAGAGTGCCTTTAAAGTGTACTGATGGACTGTAACCTTTTTTCCGAATTTCTCGCGGAGTGGGTAGTTCTCCCTTTCTCTTTGTCAGGTTAAACCTAGAAAATTCTAAACACAACTTTTCATTAAACCCGTGAAATTTATGTCCTCTATAGCTTGTAGACAGTGAAAGGATCTCATCTTACAACAGTTCAAACATTTCGAAAGCTGATAGGTGCAATTGCAAGCTCAATACCTAAAATCCCTTGTGAACGAAGTCCTAATTGAGTCCAAACACTGGATGCTGCTGACCGTTTCGCAAGTGCTTTATGGTCAGTGAGATCCAGGATCTTACGCGCAACGTGAATGATGTGTGCTTTCGCACTTATTAGGTTACGAAATAACGTGATTGCTCAAGCCCTCATTTCAGGCGAATGGCGACATATATGGCTCACCTGTGTATCAGTGTACAGTCGTTACATCTTGCAAGTGCGTTAAATACGAGAAATAAAGCAACTTTTTGCGATAAAATTTTGTATTTACAAATTATTGTGAGCATTTTGTAACGAATAAACAATAGTTTGTGAAAATATGTGCTCACCATACACGGTCGAACAAATTAGCTGACGCAGAGTTTACGAAGCATAGAAGCAAAAACAGATTGTTTTGAAACGATCAGTGTTCTTATACCTCGGTTGGGGACGAGTGGCGTGGTGGCAGGAGGCGCGGTTATGACTAGGTCGGACCAAAGTTTGATTCCGCCCTTGGGCCCACCAAGCTCTCTTACTTGCAAGGACGGTAAACCGGAGTAATCTGAGAAAGCCTGCATGCATTCAGCAGTCGTTTTGGAAGTGTTCGGCGCAGGCCAGCAGAGGGTATTGAAGACGCCGAATTCTTTATCCTTTATCCTTTTATACGTCGGCTTACTGGCGACTTTCTCGTATTCCTACCTTTAGTGACCTGTATCCTAATCCAGGGCCGAGCATCGTTTTTTGCCTTTGCTAGGTAAAACAAAATCCTATTTGACTTGTGAATGGTTTAGTCACTTTCTAAGCAGAAGAAGATGCAGTAGCAATTACACAAAGGTACTTGGCAATTATTGATTTCTGAGCTGGACATAAAAAAGGATTCGGATCGGGAAAGGAACAAGGAGCATTGTGTTATGGAGTGCAATGATCAACTTTGAAGATGTACACTTTTTAGCGCGAGAGTGATACTGTGCACTTGTGACATAAGATCGTTCTGAAAAATACGACATACATGCTGTGCATATAAGCAATGTCCGATTTTTGTATGACTCAACACTTATCGCGTTTTCGCAATTTCTATGCGCTAAGGCAGCCCGAGAATTTTTTTATGGGATAAATATTCGAATGTGAGCCCTCGACAGAATTCTCGGAATGCTTCCAAACTTTTTGCAGGTTTACGACCCCGAACTCGTGGAAGGAGGAGTAGCCACACTCTCGAAAAATTTTTTTCAATTGGAATTTATCGAAAAATTTGGGTAATTATTCCAAGCTCGGGAGTTACTCTTTGCATGAGGTGAAAGTGGCTTCAAATAATGTCATGTGTATCATCTTTGTTGTCTAGTTTTCACAGCGCACGGCTCTCCACAACTGCTTCAAATCCAAACAACAATATAACTTCATCCGTACGCGTTCTGCAGTTTTCTAATCATGGAGTGCACATCTGGGGTGATAAAAACGATTGCTACGAATACAAAGTTCTCTGTTCGAATACAGTGGTAGATAATTGACCATTAATGGCTCTCACATATGAATGGGAATGAACAAACAAGATGTAATGCAAGACAGCCATTGGGGATCATCTTGGTGGGGAAGGCCACTTCGGCTGAAATGGCTTGCCATAGAAGTTAGACTCCCTTCATACCGCGCCGGCAGCCGTCGCCAGCAGTCCATAGTAGCCCGTAGCAGCCGCCAGCAGCTGGTAGCAGCCGCAAAATCATCGAATTCTTCTATTTTAAGTGCAACCGCCCACGCTTTCCATCTTCCACGCTTTTTCCTTCCTGTTGTCACTTGATCTCATATTTCTTATTTGTGTTCATTGTTGTTATAATCTTGTTGCCGTACTTTGGTCATCTTATTGGTGCTCAGTTCCCCTCTCGCAGTCGAACCATTTTTCGCCAAAGTTTCTTCGCGGTGTATTTCTTCTGACTTTGGATGCGTCCAATTTCTACAGTGTTTATTTTCTTATGTGTGCTGCTTCGAGTCATATTCTTGGCCGGTGCTTATCTTGAATAACTCTGTAATGTGTGGGAGTGGAGCTGAACATTAACCACATTAGGAAGAAAGAGGCGTGGGAGATGGAAAGCATGGGTGGGCGCACATAAAGTGATAAGAATTTGGTGATTTTGCGCATCTATGACAAAAGCGGCCAGCGGCTGCTACGGGCTGCTGGCGGCTGCTATGGGCCACTACGGGTTGCCAGTGGCTGCTAAGCTGCTAGCGGCGGCTGCCGCAGTATGACGGCACCCTTACTGTCTCGCACCAAAATTTACTTCATGTTAGGCGCAGGCAAATGTATCGACGATTCATTGACCGCACGGACTGCTCAAACGCTCGAACTATGCGCTGCGCGGCTAAATCGTCGCAAGAGAGACTTGTACAATGGCGAATTCGTAAAAGGGCAAGCGTTTTACCTCGCGGCGCGTGCTCCGCAGTGATTTCCAGTCTGTGCGGTCAACGCATCAACTATACATATCATTTCTTTGAAAAATTTGTTTAAAATCAATCTTAGCACTTAACTAAACTTAGTTTACTTCATATGAACTGATTTGTTGTATCCACCTGCTATGCAAGGTGTCTCACAGCTTAATGTTCGTAAACTAGGTGGCAATGGCTTTATAAAATTCAAAGTAGTAGGTTCCCCGAGCTGGGATACCTGGAAGATTAACATGGTCTTTCGGGACGCTCCTCCCTCCTAATTCCTTCCATATTCAAATAACAAAATCTGATATTAGCGGATTTAATGCAACGTCGACCAACGTCAGCTTTTCCGTGATCTCCGGAAAGAAATAGCGCATCTCACTGAATCAGACTCGAAACCAGATGCACTTTAGATGCAAGACTAGAAGCCTCTAAGCTATGATTATTGCAACATATTGTTTACACTGATAATGAGATAAGTCAAAGTTGCATCTAACATGCGATTCTTGGGAGGAATCATTCATCACAATGTGGTTTACTTTATGGTCATGCATTCTATTCGCACTTGCCTGTGAAGTGCAAGCTACTACTACTATTGAAAGCGGGATGCGTACCACTCCGCCGCCTCCTCCACCAGCAGAGAACAGAACCAGTGTGGTACGTATTTCCGCGATTCCAAAGTCTGCCTTTTTTGCGAGTAGCGATTTAGAAAAATGCGGCTGACTTTTTCCCGTTTCAACTCAACGGAGATGTAAATTTAATGACTGATTTGGCGCCGGAGTAAGTCCTACATCTTTTCTAAAAAAAGTATCGTGATCAGTTGGTTAACATTGAGTTTTGCTTGGATTACGGAAATTTTCAGAGGGCAAGGCATTATTTGCAGCTGTACATATCAAGAGAGGGCGCAGTTTTTTCAACTTATGTGTCCAGCAGATTGTGTCCAGCATTTTTGATCGTTATTTGCCTACTCTTCGCACAGTTTATACGATACAGCTGCGAAAGAATGCTTCAAGCAAATTAGCTGGCAACGAATTTGTACACTCTTTTAATATTGTAAACTTGTTCTGATTCCATCGCTGTTTCTGTGCTGCTTTCAAAGCCGAAATGGACAGAGAAATTTCTGACTTGAAGCAGTTTCTGGAGAATCCATCAAATATCGCGTCCCTTGCTCGCTTTGAGATTTCACTAGCATCTGACTACTGGTCCGTCGGTCGTTATTACGAAGTTATTTCACTAACTAGCATCATCGGCTCTGCCGAGGGTATGAGCTAGATGAGCGGGAAGAGTTTCATGAACATAACCTGTGTTAAGGTGGTATCTATCTCGGTCCCGCGCTGGTATGCCTTCCATGCACCGTCGTACGCGACGTGCTTCAATGCGTAGCAGAGTTCGCGCGCGTCACACCGCAACTTCACAAGTTGCCGCTACGGCGTCGCTTAACCGAGGTTGGTGCAGCCTACGCTTCTCAATTAAAGTGTCGGGTACACCAGCATCTCCATGACCGCTCTGGACTCTGCGTCTCTTCCGCGGAACTGTTCTCTGAAGCACTTTCCCAGGGCAAGCGTGGGAAAGGCGGAGCTTCACTCGATTGGAAGTAATTAGGGTGATTAACTGCTAGACACCAGAAAGCTTTAGGAACAATCGGGGAAACGCAGGAGAAGGGATTTGAATATGAACACTACGAATTGATCTATTGCAAAGAGGCAGTTGATACAATGGTATATATGGAACGAAAAGTGAATGCAGAATTTATGCAAAATCAATCGTCACACTCTTTCCAGCGCTCAGATAAAGCAATGTTAGGTATTAGCACTGGTCTGATACTCGACACCGGACCATCTGAGCAAATTTAGGCGATTTTGTTCCAGTTTTGCCTTAAATTTTTTGACTCGAAAAACGCCCCTAACTGTGTCTAGAGGCGCTTGGCAGATAATGAAGGCAGATTTGATCACTGTGCAGTACTCTCCAAAACAGTATGGGTCTCATCTGAAAAGGCCACTACTAAACGCGCTTTGCTAACTCTGTATTGAAGGTTGTTTTGATCCGAACTAGCTTAGCGTGACGGCCCGAGCCCAGTGATCGAACTTGGTATAAAGCGTTTGTTTGAATTTCTGCGGGTGAAAGTTATCAGGTTAAAATGTGCAGCAATAGAATAGCAGATCTTCGACAGACTTCAAAAGGTTCTTTTCTCCTTTCAACTTCCGAAGTTCACTTTTAAAATTTTACGACGAAACGTTAGTGTATGGACTGTGTTAACTGAACGTTAGCGACTGCGGATGAAATGGCGGAGTCCGAATGTCCTTGGTCCTGTATTTATTCTCGAGGAACTGGAAGAAGAACTGGATACCGTTGCTCAAAACAAGCGTTTCCGGAAGTCGAATTTGCTGAAGATATTCAACTGTGCCTGGTGGCTTAACTTAGTCGCTCTTATTTCCATGAACTCGGGTTAGTAGACATATATGGCGACGAGGTACATGCGTCCATAGGGGGGAAGGGGGGTGAAGTCGATATGCAAGGTCGTCGGGCCGTTTAGTTCAGCTTTCGCGTGATCCTTGGCGGCACAATGGCAGTCTGACAGCACAGTCTCCTTAACCTCTTTTTCTTTTATAATGGAGCGGTAGGCGCAAAAACAGCTATATCTCAATTTCTAAGTACAAATGCTTTTAGGAGGTTTTGATTGTATTTATTTATTGACATCTCAACAGATTTCGCCTCCTTCTTGCTCGCCCGGAGTGTTGATGATTTATGTATCATCAACCTCAAAAATTCTATAATCCTAATAGCTTACGGGTATTCCCCATAGGCTATATTCCCCAATCGCTTATAATTAAGTGCCGAATCACTCACCAATGAGTGGCATCTATCTTCTAGGGGCCGCGCCAAGCCGCGGCATCCTCTTTCTTGCATATATTTCGTGGACATTCCGATTGTGCACGGGTCAGCTCCGCCTTACTACCTATATAAGGAGCCCCCGATTGTATTATAGGTTGCTCCCCCGGTTCATCACCGGGTTCGTCTGTGGATAAATTTATTATCGACACCACTATCGCCTACGACACTTGATTACCACCAAAAACTGTGAAATTTTATCCTGAATTCTAGCAAAAAATCCACAGAAACCTCTTTTTAACGCAAAAAAGGCTATGAAAACGCAAATTCTCGGTTTCGCTCAGATAAACTAAAGATATTATTCTCTGTATTTGCTTCATTAGCATTCGTTCCGATATAGTCAGGATAATAACATCCGGGGCTTCGCCCCGGGTGACTTCTTTTTTTTCCAGGTGAAGGTTGTGTCCCCTCATAGCCCTCAAAGTGAAGGTTACCAGAGTATGTGGCTCTATGTATCGAGGGTATGATTCAACACATGTGGCGAGTTGTTAGACCGCGCGGCGCGAATCGCATGTAGCCGAGGCTTGAGGCCCAAGGTACTTCACGCAGTTTCAGTCGCCACACGATCTGGCACTTTAGCGGAGGTCTTCAAATTCAATACTGGTAGATCTCACATTCACAGCACGTGTAACGTTTTTAGGTTGGGAAAATGCCCTATCCTCCATACATTCAGAAACCCCTTACGAGAGTTATGAGCAATTGTAGTATTGCCAAATCGCGTCGCGAATGAAATCGTTGGTATTTCGGCCGAAGAGATCACCACCCCGTTGTAACATTGTGCACGCCCTATTATGTCGGGGCTTTCACGCCGCAGAGTCTTTCATGCATAAGGGTCTCCCAGAGCCGCATGAATTAACATCTCCGCCAGGGAGGGGATCACAGCTTCAGAAGGAAGCTTCATATCCTGAAGCTCCAGATATCTGGATTTCACGCTGTACCTTCCGTAAGTACTCTCACGCCATCCTTCACTATGAACATTTTAACCGGGAGCAAGAAGCTATGCAAGCTGCTGATCCCTCGCGGCCGACCGTCTTTTCTTCAAAGTCACATTTCTTTCTTTGAAGTCAACGAAAACCTTCCAAAGTTGCGCTGAACATCTAACAAAACAGTGCTAAACATGTTGCTGATAAGAACAAATGAGTTTTTGGAATATCGATTTTTCCGATAAACCCCAACTTTCGACTTGTGGTTCATCGCAAATTTTTTTAACTTCAAAACATCACTTGTTTTTACCAGAAACACGGT